CACACACACACACACACACACACACACACACACACACACACACACACACACCATTTTTTGTAGTTGCATCAAGCCAAGCTGCAGCGTTGTTACACTCGTCCAGAGGATGGACGGTGAAGTTGCAGCCATCTACAAATATGCAGACATAATTTGTACATGATGTACTGAACTAATTTGATGATGATGTGTTTTAACACTTAGTTTTGTCAATAAAATTTATGTTTATATTAATATATTTATGGTGTGAGTGCTGGAGGTTTGTTTATAGWTGCCTTTAAATTGGAGTTTTCTAACATGTATGTCTTCAGGAATAACTCTTGTCTTGTAATTTTCTTTAAAATGGATCATTTATCTCTGCTGGGAAATAACGTTTGGCATCATTGCAAAACTTTAGGCATTCCCCTTGTTTTAATTCAGGGCTGGAATTTGCAGTGGCATCACACCAGATGAATAAAAGTCAAGTTTTCAAACATGTTCTCAGCAAATTAACTAGATTATTAATAAATGGCCAAATGTGAAAATATCTCAAATGTTGAAAAATTCCTAGTTGTGGCTCAGTTCACCAGCACGGGTCACGAGTAACAATTCTAGTAAAGTAAAACATTTTAAAGGAATATTAGACTATATGCTGTCATTTATTTCATTGTAAGGGATCAGCTGATGAAAATGATGATTTTATGTAACTTGCAATAATTTTTACTATATTGTTTTATTTGAAACCTGTAACAGTGATGACGTTATATTTACGCTTTCCCCCCCAATTTTTAAAATAATGCCTTTATTATTTAATGGCGCAACGTTTTCATTGGCAGCACACCTGTAGATCACCTGTGAGTTATCACCTGCCCTTTTTGTACTCTCTCTCAACATGCGACGTAGACGACGCTCCCTGTCCTCATTGCCGCGCCGTGGTTTGGCGCATTGCAGATTCGCCGGAGCCAATCAGCGGCCCCGAAACATCGCAGGAACATTGCGGGTCCACTCTATCCAATCAGAACACGTCTTTCAAAAGCGAAGCACACAAAAAAAGTAACCCTCTCCACCGCTCTCAGTTGGACCAGTTTAGAACGTATCCTTCCGCCGTCATAAAACTAGACGTAACAGAAACTAGTCCGCCACTATCGGTGCGGTCGTGCAACCAAACGATCAAACCAAAGACATAAATGCTGACATTTAATTGTTATCATATTAATCCGACAAGATTTAACGCTTTATCATTTCAAACGACAGTTTAAGGCATATTTAAAAAATATTGTCACTTTAAATTGCATTCTGCTGTAGTTCAAATCCTTGTTATAGAAATATATTCAAAATAAATCTACAGGTTGAAATTAAAAGATAATGTGGTGCAGTTTTTTTTTTCAACTTTATCATGTTTGTTATTACTTTTAGTAACACCGAGTCTGATTGTATCCAAACTAGATTAATACTTAATATCTGTACTTGTATGTAAATCTGAACGTGGCAAACTGAAGTAAATGTAAAATTGGGATTATTTGCTGCAAATTCTTGTTATATTTTTGATGTCAACATGCATGAAATTCACATAAAAACATGGTTTGAAACAAGTTTATAATGAGTCATGAAAAAAAGAATAAAAAAGTGAGTATAAGTATTCAGTAATAATGAATACAATCGATCTTAATGCATAAAACTAGCCTATTTCTCCTCTTAATATGTTTCAAACAAAGACAAAACTTAAAGTTCCAGTGGTTCTGTCTTCAGACACCGTTTTTAAACAATCGTATTTTTGCATAAAGTTTTTTATTTTTGACTGTAAGTGTTGAACAGAGAAGTATTTTGTTTTTATTTGGAAAATTAAGACTGAACAACATTAAATAAACATGCTTGAAGTCCTCTTTAAAACAAAACATCACTGCTGAAGAACCTAGATACATTGATGTTTATATTTTATTTATCTTGAAGAGAATTTGTGTCAGTTTATTTTATTTTATCACTAATAAATTCAGATTTATACTATCTGTTAAAAGAGAGCGACAAATGGAAATGCCCCACACAGTGCGGAGGGATACATTGAATCGTACAGCGGTGGTTCGCCTCGCTCCCGCCCTCAGCTCGCTCTGTTCAGTGGCAGCCGTCCATTTCCTCTCTGCTCCACCGCAGGCAGTCGAGTCCTTCCAGCTCACACAGACATGGTGAGTATTTTTTATTAATTCTGTTATTAATAATCTGTTACGTGCAGGGCTTTTATCGACGTCCTGTCGCCGCTAATGTGAGCTAAGTGCTTTAAGTTGCTGGAGGATCGTTGATGAAAGCAACCCGGTTCATTGCACCGACCTAGGCAGCAGCAGTAGAAGCGGGGCGGACCGTGGATTCAAACCCGCTAAATATGCGGGCGAACGTTGACGCTGCGGCGGGAAGAGCGCTAACCATTAACCGAATCGCCGTAGATCACAGCCCCCCCGGTTGGCTCGGCTGAATGTGGCGAATGCGGTAAAATAGAAGCGTTTTTTTTTTTTTTTTTTATGTGGAGGACGTTATGGCGGTTCTCTGCTGTTAGCTTCGCGGCTAATACTACACCCTGAATGAATGATTTTTTTTCCCCTTTTTTTATTAAACCGGAGCAGGTTTTTGTTTCTGTTTTTCTGCTTGACTAGTTGTAGTTTCAGGAATGCAGTTGTCTTTGTAGTGAGGTTTGGATTTCATTAAAGCTATAGTAAACTCATGGCTTATTTTACCCTTATTTTTTTTGTTTTATAAAGTATCGCTGTTCCATAATTGCAGTTGGTCAAAGTCTATGGTTGGACGGTAACTGCTGTAATAGTTAATGGACACCATGTCATATAATTTAGACAAACTAGGCTTATCACCTTAGTTACATTGATTATAATCTAACAAGTTGTTAGATAATGTTTTTGAACAAGTAAACTAGTGGAAATGTTGCCACTCCCTGTGTGACTCTAGCTTCAAGTCTGGTTTAACAAAAAACTAATTATAAATCCACAATTAAACAAATAAAACCCCGTCCTACATGAAGCACATCATTGAATGTGTGAAAATGTTTTTGCATAATTCTCAAATGTTCCCATTCATTTAACATTGTGAAACCATCTCTGCCACAATCAAGCTTTACTAATAATTATGTAATCAGTTTTACAAGTAAAAATGATTTACTCCAGAGAAACTCTTTTATTTCTCATTCTCGACGTGTCATTCAAGATTTTATTCACGATAGTTTGAAGCAGAAAGACTTGTTCTGTAAGCCAARTCGTACGATTTGTGATTCTTATTCCACATTCCATTTTTTTTTTTGGTTGCTGCAACCAGTCTGATCTGTAYGCTGCCGAAAAGAAAATCAAAACTACATTTTAGAGGAGTTGGCAGCTTGATAGCCATCACCAGGCCAGCCACCACAGACAATTTCTGTCCATCAGCTGTTACTCCTTATCTTTGCTGTACAAGTACTTGAATGATTTCTCTTGCCCTCCCTAATTTAATTAGTAATAGATGTTTATGTGCCGTGCTGSTTTTATTAGTTGTGTGCAGTCAGAGCTCACCAGCATCAACAGAGAGGCTGGTAATGTTACCAAATGTCAAACAACTGGTTTGTTGATCCCAACTGTAAAAAAAAAAAATAACATGCTGGGTTTCCTAATGGTCCCTTCAAGGCAACGTATCTCCACTTTGCAACTCAAAATATAAATATTTAACCCATGTCATAAGACCTTATTCAGCTTCTTAATCTGTATGTTTGCTCCTGAATAAGCTCTTCTCAATGACCTATGAAGCCAATAAAATTTAATAGTGTTGCAGTTAAAAGAATAGTCCGTCACTGTCGTGGTAATTTGTTGACTATAAAATGGCGTCCCGGCTATTAAAATACAACTTTGGCTTCAGTGGTTCACAAAGTTGTTGTGTGGACACCCTATTAAAAATAACCTGTTCATAATTATTACAAAATATATTTAAAAAACAGCTTTTTTAAAAAAGTAGTATTTGTGTTGTTTATGGACCAGTTTGTGGGTCAAAAGTTRAATGATTTTAATTTAAAATCACTGTTTCTTCTCGGTAGAAGTAATTCTGTAAAATGAGTTGTAAAAGTTCACTTTTTTTAAAACAGTTTAACCCGTTGAGCCAATAGAAATTCAAAAGAACAGGAAGATGCTGAGATGAAACTTGGTTAAAGAGGGTCCAAACATTAAAACTCTAAATTATGAACAATTAAGTTGCCGTGCATCTGATAATAATGTGGAAAAAATGGCTTCTTGTTAAAAAGCATAAAGACTGCTCTGGGCTTGTTTAAGTCTCTTTAAAAAGWCTTGTCTTATCACTTACACATCAGCTGGAAAGGTGTGTTTGCATTCTTCTGGACTGAGATCGCGTTGATCACATGAATTATTAGTTTTCATGGGAATATTGACTTCAGCTGAAACCTGGGCCTGTGAGGTGAAATTCAGCTGTAATTAGCACCTTGCCTGCAGACGCTAAAACTGTCGGCACTTCTGTCGAGGGTTTTTCATCCATTTGATGTGACCCATGATGCTGTGTAGGAGGCAAGGGGCGACCAGAGACCCGATCCTCCCCGGGAGCTGCAACCGTAGCCGCGACCTGACAGCCTGCAGATTAGCACATACATGTAGATGCACGCAGAGCCTCCATGACCTCCCCCTTCCTCTCTCCTGGTGTGGACACTGTTACTTTCACACACATCAAATTAATTTCCTGAAATGTTTGTCTGACCACCTCCCAACCTGGCCTCCTGCCCTCTGCACACACACGCTCATAAAATGCTTTTTATCTATTGAGTTGCTGCAGGAGGTGGACACTTTCGTCATTTAATGTGCCGCTCAGTCTCGATCGTAGGCGTCCGCTCGGTGATATGGAGGGACAGACGGTGGGGATCTCCTCAGTGTCAGGTGCAGAGGAGGAGGAACGGTGTCTGGTCGTGGGAGAAAGACGGTCGGACTTTTAAAGAGACGGATAGATTGACGGGTAACTGTGGCAACGTCAGCCGAAGGACCATCTGTCCCATCAACTTGTCACCCATCTCGTGGACGAGAGACGTCCACCTGTCAGATCGGTCCAATCTGCTGGGATTGTGAGAAGCTCTTGTCATCTATCAGCCGACGAATTGAAGGACAAGTCTGGCAATTATCCAGTCACCTCATCAACATTCAGACGTCCATAACGGTCTGCAGGTTCAGGAGCATTAAAAACATCCACTGAATTGCTATTTTTATTTAGTGATGTGACCATTCAGAGAGGTGATTTTGTTCCTCTTCATCTCTTTTTGTAATTTGTCCGTTGAGCTGAACTGATAGATGTCGGGCCATTATTTTTATAATCTCCTCCCTCCCTCTTTAACCCACAATTTCTGCCCCTCCTGCCATTGTTCCCTCGTCATGCTGCCCGAGAAAGTCCCCGCGTACCCGGCAGAGGATGAAACGGTGAGCCTCTCCACCGTCTACAACCTCTTGGACGACCAGGAGCATTATTTCATGGAGCTGATCCAGCAGCAGGAGAGGAACTACAGGGCCTTCCTGCAGATGCTAATGGACACCTCGTCCAGCCGCACGGACAACCTGGTCCGAGAGATGCAGGACCTGCGGAGCTGCCTGCAGCGGACCAAAGCGGAGCTGTCGGAGGTCAAGAGGCAGGGCATGCAGAACAACAAGCGTGCCGAGTGTCTGGCTGAAGGCTTGGTGATGGTCCGCGGGGCGCTGGATGGGCTCAGCGTGAAAACGGGAGCAGCTGGTGGGGGTTCTGGAGGCAGAGGTGCAGACTTGAAACAGCGCAGAGGAGCGGGAGCGTTGAGGCTGGATGGGAGAGGAGTTGGAGCCAGAGTGGTTAAAAAACCAGAACCAAAGGCTGTAAAACTGGTGGCAGACCTCACAGATATTCACTTTGAAGATTTGAAGGTTGTGCACAAAGAATCTTAAAGGTTTAGTTTGCTGGAGCTTTTATGGTTTAACACTTTTTAAAAGTTTTCTGCTGTCAAAGTTTTTAGATGAACCTTTAAAATCACTTGACCACAACGTGACGTTGATTGAAGTGTGCTCATTAATATTTCAAACCTTCAACACTTTTTAAATCAGTTTAAAAGCATTCGTCTAATAAATGTTTTGTCTTATAGGCTGACCAACTAACAGAAGAGCAGATTGCCGGTAAGTTCATTAAACTGCAACGTTTTGTCATAATCTTGTACATATCTAGGCCTGTCGTGATAATAAATCAATTTATCCCACGATAAATTTAAATGAGATGTTTTCATTTGCCTGCTTGTTTGTTTTCTTGTTTYGCTCTTTTCCACTCCTTGGTGTTGCCAGCTGCATGGTGTCTAACCTCTGTAGCATGAAAGCCCCGTGAACAGGCGTGTGGCTAAAAGAGCATCTTCAGTTTGACTCCTTTCAGTTGGCGACGCCCTCAGGGCACCGTGGCAAACCATGGGATCTTTTTTTTTTAACTTCATAATTATCGCAATTATTTCTGAGACAATTTATCACCCAGCAAAATTGGTTATTGTGACAGGCCAACATCAGACACATTTAGTTTTCCTGTCTGTTTTTTGTCGTCTTCATCCCCTTGTGTTTCCGTTTCTTCAGAATTCAAGGAGGCCTTCTCCCTGTTCGATAAAGAYGGAGATGGTACCATCACCACCAAGGAGCTGGGCACCGTCATGAGGTCACTGGGTCAGAACCCGACCGAAGCTGAACTCCAGGACATGATCAACGAGGTGGATGCCGATGGTAGGATGCAGCTCTTTTTGAAGCGCAGAGAGATGAATTTAATTTCAATAAATAAACATATTCACGTTTAATCATCTCCACCAGGCAACGGAACCATCGACTTCCCCGAGTTCTTGACGATGATGGCGAGGAAGATGAAGGACACGGACAGCGAGGAGGAGATCAGGGAGGCCTTCAGAGTCTTTGATAAGGTGGGTTTGGATGTGATTGTAAATAGTTTGTTATATTTGTCTCCACGCTTGAGAGGAGACACTTGTTATAAACTCACCTGCTGTCTGTTTTGTTCAGGACGGTAACGGATACATCAGCGCAGCCGAGCTGCGTCACGTGATGACAAACCTGGGCGAGAAGCTGACGGACGAAGAAGTAGACGAGATGATCAGGGAAGCAGACATCGACGGAGACGGACAGGTCAACTACGAAGGTACCTGCGACYGTCTCATCACACCTAAAAACACTCCCAGTTGTATAAAATCATGGTCACATCTGATTTTTTCTTTATTTTTTTCCCTCCACAGAGTTTGTTCAGATGATGACCGCCAAATGAACTGAGCTCACAGCAAATCAGTCAAATGTTTCACTTACCTCTTATTGCAAAAATCTACATTTATTCATGCTGTTCTGTATAGACAATTTAAACTGAATGTTGGAAAACTGAAAATTTGTCCATATTAACAAGCTCAAAAAAGGTAAAAGACGAAAAAAAAAGAGTTAATCTGCATGTTCTGGCTTGTATTCCCTCCCTCCCTCCGGCGCCAAGCCGCCCAATCAGATCTCAGCTTGTTAGACGAGCTGCACCTGCGCAGACGTCTGACGCGTGCTCTTCTGGTTCCATCTGCCTGACGTCACGATGATCACTTGGGCCGGTCAGCTGCCTCTTTCTTCTCTGACTTTGTTTAATTTCCCCCCTGTTCTCCATGCATGCAAACGTTAGAGTTTCTGTTGAGATCCCAGTGACAGAAAGTAGTTTTTGTTTTTTTGGGGGGAGGTGGGGGGACGGTTCRGCCTACAGACTTGGAAAGGGGCGGGATGTTTGCTCACAAAGTTGGCGACAATGGGTGGGTTTTTTTTTTTTGTTTGTTTGTTTTTAGAAAGACGATAAAAAAAAACGAAATAAAGAATTTTGGATTATTATTATTTTTTGGCATGTCAGGTTAATCACTTTAAACCTTTGTGTGTTTACCTTTTTTGAGGGTGAGGAGCCCCTTCGGCAGCAGTTACGTCTTAGACAATTGGACGGTCTGGGTGGGCTTTAAAGATGATTATATACAGGTACAGTTTGAGGCAATATCAGTATCGACACACCCACGCACCTACCAGTACACGTGTTAATTTAGGCTTTTACAAACTATTTAAAAAAGATAAAATCAAACCTCTAAATCCTGCCCAGTATATTGCCTCGAAGGCTGTGCATGTATGACTCCACGGGGGTGTGTGATTCAGGTTTAAGGGAGGACGGGCTCGGAGCTTTGCAGCATTTCTACCTTGTGTTTTGTGTGTGAGTTTGGCTGTGTGTGTGTGTGTGTGTGGGTGCAGCGAGGCCCGGCCCGGTCCAGTTCAGGCTGTTCTCGTTCGGTTGATCTGCATTCCAAGTTGTACATGCTTGTCTTTACATTTTGTTTTTCCAATAAAATGTCATGTACTAAAGATGAGTTTTGTCTTTGTCGTGCGTGTGCGTGTGTGTGTGTGTGTGTGGGGGCAGCGAGGCCCGGCCCGGTCCAGTTCAGGCTGTTCTCGTTCGGTTAATCTGCATTCCATGCTAGTCTTTGCATTTTGTTTTTCCAATAAAATGTCATGTACTAAAGATGAGTTTTGTCTTTGTCGTGCGTGTGTGTGTGTGTGTGTGGGTGCAGCGAGGCCCGGCCCGGTCCAGTTCAGGCTGTTCTCGTTCGGTTAATCTGCATTCCATGCTAGTCTTTGCATTTTGTTTTTCCAATAAAATGTCATGTACTAAAGATGAGTTTTGTCTTTGTCGTGCGTGTGTGTGTGTGTGTGTGGGGGGGGGGGTGTCCTCTTTAAAGTGACATCAGAAAAGTGTGTGTGTGTAACCTGATGGCTTTAATGTATATATTTCAACAAACTCAGCTGTGATTGTGCAGTTAATCCATCTGTTTTCCGGGGGTGTCGTTAAAAAAAAAAGGTACCTTCCAGATCGCCAAGAACGTCTGTGGATGAGGCGGTTGCTAGGCAACAGAAGCCCGGTCAGGATGGGTTTTTGGAGAAATGGGCAGCAGAAAACCGTGGGTTTTTATTTCTTTTCCTCCTAAATTCTATAACTGTCAAAAGAAAAGTGCAGGAGCTCTAACGTTTTAACCTTTTTTTTTAAAAAAAAAAGCTAAAATAAACTTCATGGAGTGATTCAGTAAATCTGGATTTGTGCTGAAAATGTGAAGAGGGGAATCTGGACAGGATGAGGGCAAAGCTGGAGAGTGGGAGGTGTTTTGATGTATCACACTCTGGTTATGTTACAGTCGGAAGTGTCTTCATATAGATTATGAGTCTTATTTAGTCAAAGTGACCATGGCACATTTTCAGATTCCTGCTATTTCAGCTACATTTTGACATCTGGATGATCCTGGTTTCATGAGCGGGTCCAGAGAKGTGCTTTGATTCGTCTTCATCAGGATCAGTGTGGCGCTTCACAGGATTCTGAGTAGTTTCAAAACCAGCTAGTAGGACGACAAACGTGTTTAGAACCAACAAGTCTAAACTAAAGGTGTGTTCAGTTTACCTGCGAGTCCCACAGCTGACCTTTCTGAGAGATTACCTGTCGGTGACACCTGAGAGACCAGCAGAGACCTGTGTACAGGTGGGGGGGCCGTGGCCTCCTGACGCTACGGTCTGAACCTGTCAGCCGTAAACCTCGGAGACAAAGGCGGACGCCTCAGAGCGCCGACAGACGCTCACCTGAGAGCGTAACGCACACCAYCGCTCCCCCCACACCTGAAGGTCACAGGAAATACCAGACGGGCTCACCRAAGTCTTCCTCATCCTCAGAGGACGGTTAAATATCACACCAGAGTCGTTTTAATTATAATTTCCTTTAATATTCTAGTGTCAGTCGTTGATTTACAGCAACAAGGACTCACTGATTGATCGGACAGAATCAACCTCAGAAAATAGATTTATAATTTACTCTCAAAGAATGAAACATGAGGGACAGTCAGATATAACAACTCTGTTTCTTATAATCAAGTAAAAAAAAAATAGGATGCAAAGACACAAATGCTGGATGCGTTCACACAGAATGTTTGATTTGGAAAAAGAAGCAACAGATTCAACTGAACTTTTCTGTTAATTTAACTTTTTACAGCTGGAGTTTTCAGATTAAAACTCAAATACAACAAACAAAAAAAAGCTGCACGTGAATCAAAGTTAGTTTCAGTTTAAAGGAACTCATTGCAAAGTCTTGTTTAAAAAAATATATTTCTCATATCGACTGTGTTGTGAGTTAAATTTGTAAATAAATACCAACTATTACGTGTTTGTTTCTATGGAAAACAGCTGACAGGAAACTGCAATGAATACCAAACATATAAATCAGATTTTCTGCGTGAACGCACCCAGATTTTTGGCATTTACCGACCGAGCGCAGGGCTCCGTCTCCGTCCGCCGTACGGTAACAGAACAGCAACAAATAAACGTGTTTCAGTAACAGATATTTGGCTCGTTAAAAGGAAATAAAAACCGTTTTCCTGCCAATAATCAGCCTTTTTTTTTAAATCAAATATTCGTGTGTCTCTTTGGACCAAAAGATGTAAACAAAAAGTTACCGAATGTAACGACAAAACATATTTACACAAACACGGTAAACACGTTGGCACATGGACACGGAGGTGCATGCACAGACTCCAGCACGAACACACAGAGGAGGGAAATATATTTACAGTGAGAGGAACGGCTGTGCAGGTGTGTGTGTGCAGGTGTGTGTGAGCGTCTCATAGCGCTCGGGGGATGATGGTAAAAGGCAGGACAGGGCTGCTGGCCTCCAGCTCCAAGGCAGTGAGGAAACACTCGGTGGCGGCGGCGGCATTTCCCTGAGCCTGCAGCACTTCGCCCAGACTGTTCCACACGTCGTGAGCCGTGCTGCCGGAGGAGGAGAGGGTGCGTTTAGGACCACCAGAAGCCAAAGAAACGACTCAAGATTACCGTCTTATGGATTTTTAGCTGCTTTGTAGTCCTTATAGCTGATCAGTTTTCAGTGTGTTACAACTACTTGACTCTGATCATCCTGGCTTAAAAGGATCAAAATGTTGTCGACAGAAAAATAGGGGTGCAACCGTTCAATATAGTGCTTTAGGTTCAATACACACTATGTATTGAACAATACAGATTTTTTACATTTATTTTATCAGCTTGTCTTTTGAAGATGCTCTGTGTTGAAGGATCAGTGGATCTGTGCTCGACCTCTCCACCTAGGCTGCATTGTGGAGCACAGATCCACTGAGAAACTTTGCAGTTTCAGCAACATTTAATTTAAAAACTGGAGTTTCGAGGTTAAACAAATGTTCATAATTAATTTAAATAAATTACAAGCTAAAAAGGACATGGAAATATCACTTTTTTGTATCGAAAAAAAATTTGAACCGTGAGACTAAAGTAGCAAACCGAATTGTGAATTTTCTGTATCGTTGCACCCCTACAGAAAATCCATTTAACTTGAGGCTATCAAAGTGTCACAAAGACACTTCTGCCCAACAAAATTTATAAAAAGCAATTAGTTGATAATAATAAAAACAACAACAACAACAACAATAACAGAGGATAAAATATGTGCCAAGCTTAAAAAGGGGGGGAAATACCAACAGCTGATTGAGCATGACAAACATGACTACCCCCCCAATGAAATAAAAAATGTAAAAAAAAAAAAAAGACGAATAGCAGAAAATGGACGTGAGGACATAAGACGCCTACCTGTTGACCTGCACGGCATCCCTCAGGACTTTCTCAGACAGACTGTAGCGCTGCAACTGGTGCAGAATCAGACCCTGTTCAGACCCACAAACAACACGTTTTATTACAACGCATTCACATAATACTCGTTCCAATCAATAAAATATCACTTGTTTTATCTTTAGGTTCATTTTCAGTCGAGTTTCTTCCCAAACCAGTCTAAAAAATGTGAAAAAAGACTAAGGATTTGCAATTAAACCATGTTGGTAAAGCAAATGTTGCATTAAACTCAGTGTTTTTGTTAAAAAATACAGTTTTAGCACAAATGTACGAATCATGAGATATTTCTGTTTGTCAGCGACATCCAGGCTGAACGTTTCAGGCGTAATGACGTCATCAGCAGCTGCGAGGATCAAATGAGACAGTGGATCGCTTTATTTCTGCAGTGAAGCAGAGCCGTTATCATCCGCCGTCCCAGAGGATTCTGGGTAATTACACAAAACGCCTCACGGGGGCCGTGAATTGCGGACTCACCAGCCTCTGCATGGTCTTGACGTGGGTGGGGTTGATGGACAGGGCCTCCTCGTACCAGCGCTTGGCCTCGCTCATGTTGCCCTTCAGCTCTGCGATCTGGCCCCTCATGTACAGGACGTTGTGCGACGTGGGGAAGAGGTTGGCCGCCTCCTGCGTGCACGCCGTGGCCTCTGCGGGCTTCGACATGCCGATGTACACCTCGGCTGCCGGAYGGACGAAATGAGACAAATATTTAGGGAGAAGCTCGTTTAATCGAGGCCCAGTTTGAGAAACTTTGCGTGCCGACAGAGTTTGTTTCTGCACCATTCTGTTAGCAAAATATCTCAAAGCACTGGATGCATTTTAACCAAACCCTCAAAGTAAATCAYTACTGATCCACAACAGCTACACAAAAACGATTATGGAGGTAATTTTATCACGGTAGTTGCTGAGAGTTAAYCTGTCCCTTCAAATTACAAGATAATCTGGACGTTTTCAGCCATAAATCACATTTTCTAATCTGAAACGGGATCAATCTCAGAAGCGCTTTCTGACCCGTCTAAAGCGCGGTTTCTGAGACGAAGACGTACGGTGAGGGAGGCAGAGGAAATGAACGCTCCCTTCTGTTTGTCCTCTTAATTTGCTGATTACATTAGTTGTGTTGCCAAGCTGGAAATGACCGCCCCGACAAGAGGAAGCAGCTGCAGAGATAAACTGCCTCTGTGTGTGTGTGTGTGTGTGT